GGACGTGAATTCAATTCCATTAACGTCATTTKTCACACCACAAGGACAATTTGAATACCTTCGAATGCCGTTCGGATTAAAGAACGCACCAGCAAATTTCCAAGAGAAATTGTCGTGTATATTGACGATATCCTTATCGCATCTGCCGATTTCGAAAGTCACCTTCGTACCGTCGAGAAAGTCTTAAAAAGAATTTATACAAGAGGATTAGAACTTAAACTGAAAAAGTGTAAGTTTGGATACAATGAAATATAATACTTAAGATACCTCGTTAGTCTATTGGGAATACAACCATCTGATGTTCATGTCCGTGCTATCGCTAATTACCCAATTCCGCAGAACCACAGGGAACTTCGGTCGTGCCTGGACTATTTTCATATTTTCGGAAATTCGTACCGTCATTTTYAAAAACGGCTAAACCACTTTTAGATCTCAGATAAAGAAGCAACATTCAACTTTTCAGAATTGTGTCTAGAAGCTTTTAGGAAATTAAAATCGCAATTAGTAAAAGCCCCAGTGCTACCAATATATGACCATACGCGGGAAACAGAACTTCATTGTGACGCCAGCAGTCATGGGTTCGGGTCTGTCCTACTCCAGAGACAGGATGATTAGAAGCTATATCCCATTGCATACTTTTCAAACACCACTACGGGGGCAGAGTCAAGATACCATAGCTTCGAGTTGGAAACGCTTTCCATAATCTATGCTCTCAGGAGATTTAGGATTTACTTAGAAGGGAGACCGTTCACCATTGTTACAGATTGCAACTCCCTTACAATGGCGCTAAACAAAAAACATGTAAATCCACGAATAGCGCGAAGGGCCCTAGAGTTAGAAAATTTCAACTATTCGATCCGGCACCGAAAAGGTGTTAACCTCGGTCATGTGGATGCATTAAGCCGAATCCCCTTGYCCCCAAATACTGCGAATGATATTAATATACTTGCACCCGATGTGTCATTAAAGTCTGTAGGTAACTTGAAGGATTATCAAGATCTGTCCGAAGTGCTAACAATAGGCGAGTGTAGGCTTAGGAGTAGTTGCGAACTAGTTGCCGCCATCGACCATGACGATTTGGATTTTCAAATCCAAGTTGCCCAGAGTARGGACGCGAGACTCAAGGAGCTTTTGGACAAATTAGAAAAGGGTGAAGTGGTTGGTTACGAACTGATAGACGGGCTGG